AAAAAAAAAGTGTGCACCATCACAAAGGTGAAGCTGGGATTCTTTTTTCCTTTTTTTTAGTATTTAATTTTACTGTTTTTAGTGTATGGCGGAGGACTGTGCACGTGAGTGCAGGAGCCCTACAGGTCCTCTCAAACGTCAGAGGTGTAGGATCCCCTGAAGTCACTGAGTCACTGGTAGTTACGAGTCGCCCGCTCTTGGTGCTGGGAACTGAAGGCAGGTCCTCTGAAATGCACTCAACCACTGAGCCATTTCTCCAGCCCTGAGGTAGGGATCTTGATTCACATTCAGTGCAGGAAAGAATTTCAGGATGAGTCAGTCTGAGCACAATTAGGGTTTCTAAGTAAAGACAAGTTAGTACACTGAAGGATGGATACAGGGTTCTCAAGAGTTATACTAAGTGTCTTAACAACAGCCGTGTATATTTTGTAGCTTTTGAAGTTACATTGCTTCAGGCAGGTAAGGGTGGCTCAGCAGGAAATGACACTTGCTACCATTATGGACAGATCTGAATTAAATCCCAGGTTCCACAATGTGGAAGGAGAAAACCCACTCCTCTAAACTGTCTTCTGACTTACATTTACAGGACCACACACATACACATACAAATAATAAAAAATAATTACTGGAACTGAACTTGGGTCCTCTGGTGGTGCATGCCTTTAATCCCAGCATAAGTAGGTGTGAGGGGCCATCTCACAGTGGACACAATGAATTGCAAGTATTTCCCTTACTCTGTGGGTTGTCCTTTCTGTTTAAGGTATTGTCCTTTGTTATTTTACCTTTTTTTTTTTTTTTTTTTTTTTTTGAGACAGGGTCTCCCTGTTGCCGCCGCTGTCCTGGAACTCACTATGTAGACCAGGCTGGCCTCGAACTCACAAAGATCTGCCTGCCTCTGCCTGCCAAGTGCTGGGATTAAAGGCATGCACCTCCATGCCCAGCACTTTTTTTTTTTTTAATGTATCAGCTGCTTAATAATTAAAGCTTCTTGGTAAGAAATTTAGAACACCAAGCTGTAAGGATACAGGTCATTTGTCAGAGAGAGTGCAGGTAGCCTTTAAACTAAGAAATAGCTTTGATCTTTGGCAAAATTCTTGAGTTCACAGCCTTCTGATCAACTTTGTGCTGCTCTGTAATCTCCTATTTCTTTTGTCCATGTCTCAGATCGTGCCTTCCTGGTGTTTGGGCTCCTGTAGCTTCTCGAAGTAAGCGTCAGTGACGTGCTGGAGAGTTTTCATGTTGAAACGGACTTTTGTGGAGGTGGCTATGCCAAAATTCTGGTGTGTTCTTTGCAGAGGAACTTGGTTAGGGACAAGAGGTCCAGTCACAGTTAGTAAGCCACTATCCAGCTGCTTCAGGAAAACCACTCTGTCCCCTGTAGCACCCAGTAAGGATGACGAGGACCCTCCCAGGGGTGATGCTGGTGCAACTTTCTCATGTGCTGACTGAAGGGCTCTTTGCTGTGTCTCAGCAACTTCCCAGGCTCGTCTTCAGTAGGATACCCAGGCATTTTGCAAAGCTTAACTGCCGTTTGCCACCATGCTTGTCCCCACCAACTGGTTTTGTGACGATAACAAGAACTTTCTCCTTTTTTCTCTTCCAACCTTGTATTTCCGGCCGAGTACTTCTTTTTGTACAGAGCCTTACTGGAATTCATAGCAGATCTGGAGTATCTGCCAATGCGGTGCCGGCACTGGGGCCTCCAGGGACCCACCACCAGCCTCCCAGGTTGCAGGTATCTTCTTTGTGTCAGGCTTCTCAGCTTTTTAACCTGCCATCGTGCAAGACGGGAAAGAGCTATCTTTACTACTTCATTATTTTTTAATTAATTACCTTATTTATGATTCTTTTTGAGACAGGGTCTCCCTGTAGCCCCCACCTGGCCTGGAACTCACTATGTAGACTAGGTTGGCCTTGAACTCACAGACATTGACCTGCCTCTGCCTCCCAAGTGTGAGTGTGTTGCCTGCATGCATGTGAGTGCACCCGTGTCCTGCAATGTCGTGGAGATCAGAAGAGGGCTTCGGCTTCCCCTGGAACCGGAGTTAAGAATGGTTCGTAGCCACCATGTGGGTGCTGGGACTCGACCCCGGGTCCTCTGCAAGAGCAGTCGGTGCCCTGAACCGCTGAGCCATTTCTCGAAGTCACAGAGGTCCACCTGCCTCTGCCTCCCAAGTGCGGGGACTAATTAGAGGCGTGCACCCGGCTGTTGGAGTCCTGCAACGCACAAGTCTTGTTTTCGTTTTCGATTCCGCACACTTCGTTGGTGCTGAGCTTTAAAATGTACAACTTTGAAAGTCCCGGTGCCAGCGGGCCCTCGGGGCACAGACCGCAGGAAAGGCGCCGACCGCCAGGGGGCGTCGCAAGCCCACGCTACTGCGCCTGTGCGGACGCGAGCCTACGACCTGAGAAGCCGAGCGAACGCGCGCCCGCCGCGCCAGTGCGCCTGCGCGAAGCCCTAGCGCTAGCCTGGTCGCGCCGGACGGTTGTCGCTCATCGGGCGGCTATGGGGGAGGCTGAAGTAGGCGGCGCGGGCCCCCCGGGCGACAAGGGCCCAGGCGAGGCGGCCCCGAGCCCCGCCGAGGAGACGGTGGTGTGGAGCCCAGAGGTCGAGGTGTGCCTCTTCCACGCCATGCTGGGCCACAAGCCTGTCGGTGAGCGCCGCGGACCCGCGTGGGGGCGGGGCGGGCCAAACCGTCAGGAGGGCGGAGCCCGGGACCGAGGGTGACGGGACCCACCCCCGGGTGCCCCGGCTTTCCGGACCCGTCGTGACGTCTCTGGACGGCCCTGCCCTCGGGGACGCTCCTTCCCGGGGCACATCTCTCCTCTGCAGCCCCGGGCCCTGGGCACCCCTGATGGACAACCCTTGACCTTGGGACACCCCTGTCCCCCTTGACACCTGACTGCTGCACACCCTCACCTCCACCCTGCACTCCCCTGCCCCTCCCTCTGTCCTGTAGCCCTGCCCCTCTGCCCAGAGTTGCCCTCTCTCCCGGGTTCACCCTCTGCCCTGCCTCTCTTTAAGGAGTGAATCGACACTTCCACATGATTTGTATCCGGGACAAGTTCAGCCAGAATATCGGGCGCCAGGTCCCATCCAAGGTCATCTGGGACCATCTGAGCACCATGTATGACATGCAGGCACTGGTGAGTTGGATCCTTTGCCACCCACTGTTGGTGGAAAAGGTGATGACAAGCCCCTCACAGCCTGTCTTCCCAAAGTCAGCCAGCAGTGCCTGACTCTGGTGCTCATTGGGGTCTGCTAGGCCGAGCAGAGGCATCTCAATAGAAGAGGCCGCCTCCTCCTCCGGAGAGCTCAAGTCCTGCTGTGAAAAGTGCAAACCAGTCACGGTTGCTGGTCCACACTTTCAAGGACTCTGCTTTTATGGTGGGTGGTCACAGAAGTCTCCAGGGAGATCACTGGGTGCTGAGACCCCCCCCAGGGAAAAGCATCAGCCACAGGGGAAAATGGAGGTGGGGTGGATTACAGTGGTTTGGGCCCCTGGCCTTGTCTGAGCTCCACTGAGGTAAATGAGATTGCCTCTGTAGTAACCCAGCACTGTCTTCATCCTCATGGAGCTGAGAGTTAACTATGTCTTGGTGGGTAACTAGATAACCAGAGTGGTCTGGAGAACTGACAGTGCCCAACAGGCAAGCAGATAACTAGGTAACCAGAATGGGTGGAGTTGGAGGTGTGCATAGCTTTGCTAACCTCAGGATGCCCCTGGGGAACTCTGTCCTGGTGGGAGTGCCACCGTGATGAGCCAAGGCAGGTTCCAGTGTGTATGTCAGGCCCCTCTCAATGGCATGGCCTGGTCCTTCCCTCTGGTCTGTTATCAGGCTGGTGCTATCCTGGCCCTCCCAGGTCATTTGGAAAGCCCAGCTGAGGCAGACCTGAGGAAAGAGTCATCCCCCACACACACATGCTCACAATTTCCTGCCTGCTCCTGTATGTCTTTAGTGACCTGACATCCTGTTTTCTGTTTCTTGAAAATATAACACTGTTTGCTGGCAGCATGAGTCTGAGATTCTTCCATTCCCAAATCCAGAGAGGAACTTTGTCCTTCCAGAAGAGATCATTCAGGAGGTCCGAGAAGGTGAGACTCGGCCACCCTCAGGGCTGGGAATAGAAAAAGCCAGACCACCCCAAGAGTGGGAGGCCAGGGGACCTTCAGGGAGGTGTGAGGGGCCTGTTTAGGCCCCACCTCCATTGGTACCTGGGAGGCCTTGGGAACCAAGGGCTGGGGAGGGCTTTGCTTAAGGGCAGTCTCCTGATGGATGCCATCTCGTGATGGACGCCGAGGCCTGTGTGGGCAGCGAGAATCGGAAGCAGTCCTGGCCAGACCGTCCCCCAGCGCTGGCCACCACCGTGGGTTTCCAGTGAACGGCAGCTGTCTCCTCCACAGGAAAAGTGGTCATTGAAGAAGAAATGAAGGAGGAGATGAAGGAGGATGTGGACCCCCACAATGGGACTGATGATGGTAAGTGTGGAGCTCCTTTAGAGCACAGCACCCTATCCCCCCAAGCCAGCCTCAGGCAGGGCATGCTCAGGCAGCCATTGGAGTCTGTAAGATGGAGGGTCCAGTTAAAGGGCTCAGAGCAGGTCACCTCAGGCAGGAGGGTCACTGATGGCCGATAGGGGTGGGAATGGGGAGACAAGCACTCAGCTGCATCCTTACCCAACACTATGGCTGAGCCTGGAGGCCTCAGCATAGAGCATCAGGATGGACTTGGCCTGGAAGCCCTCAGGACAGGTTTCTCCTCAGGCCCAGGTATACAGACTTCCGGCCCAGGGAAGACCTATTTGGTGCAAAGGGTGAACAGGAAGATGAAATGAGTTTCTGTGTATTTTGTTTGTTTCTCAGTTTTTTCATCTTCAGGGAGCTTGGGGAAAGCATTAGAAAAATCCAGCAAAGACAAAGAGAAGAACTCAGACTTGGGGTGCAAAGAAGGGGCAGACAAGCGGAAACGCAGCCGGGTCACCGACAAAGTCTTGACTGCCAACAGTAATCCCTCCAGCCCCAGTGCCGCCAAACGGCGCCGAACATAGACACCTCAGCCCCAGGTTGCCACAGAGGTTCCAATGCTGCAAGCCCCTACTGCCTCCTCAGGTCCCTGGGTGAATATGGCTGCCCAGCAGATGCTAGTGGGGGTACTGCTGTGTTATCAGACCATCAGAGCTCCCTCATGGCCCAAAGACCAGGGGCAACCCTGCTTGGATGTGAAGCCTCTGAGCCTGCTCTTGCCTTTTCCTGGTTGGCTCCATCTATGCCCTGGATGCATTGAGAGGAGCAGGTATGTGGGACCAGAGGACCAAAAGTCAGCAAGCAATAAAATGCCATCTTCACTATCCTTAGAAGGAGCTGCTGGTCTTCCCTGGATGCCTGTTCTTTGCATCTGCTTATCCTTCTGTAAGACTCCAGTCTGCACTGGGGGCATCTTTGGAGGTCCCACGCACCCTACTGCACAGGCCTCCCCGTCTGGGAAACAGAACTGGGTGTTTTGCCTCATTCACTTATACTGTAAAAAATGTATATAATTTGGTTGGTATTTCACTATTTAAATCTTAAGAAGCCTATTTTACTAGTGTTTTGTATGAGAAAGAATACTGCAGAAATTGTTGAATTTTTTTCTGAGATGTTTTGTTTTAAGGTTACTACTGAGGTATGTCTGGCTATGTTTTTATATGTCATATACAGAGAATTTGTAGTGGTTATTTTTGTAATTTTAGTAACTTGCCAAAAGACCAAATGAAGGTGTGGACAGAAAGGCATGGCCAGTGCACTCACACAGTGGTGGCCTGTTGGTTGAAGTATGCACTCATTTACAGAACATTAAAGCACAAAAAAATCAACCTGTAATTCTGTGTTTTACTAAAACAGGTTAGCTTTTTCTGCAAAGGGAAGGACCTCCCCCCCATGATTCATAACTAAAAATGTACACAGGGGGCTGAAAAGATGGCTTAACAGTTAAGAGCACTGGCTGCTCTTTCAGATGACCCAGGATCAGTTTCCAGCACCCATGTGGCAGCTCACAACTCCAGTTAACAGGTAGCTCCAGTTTCAGGGATCTGATGCCTTCTTTCCTCCACAAGCATTGCACACACTGGTGCACTTCGATACACGTGAGCAAAATGCTCATAAAACAAAAATGTAAGTGCAGTTAGGTGACTCACTAGCCTCACTGGATACAATATATAGATACCATGACAGGTTCCTAGCAGTTGGAAGTGACTCAACACCCCACTCTTGCCTGCCTCATTGCATCTGACTTGGACCTGAAGCTGCTGGCTGGTATCTTTCCAGAGCCAAGTCTGCCCGTTGGGTGGGATGAGCAGACGGACTCTGTACTGGCCAGACTCCATCACCTCCTGTAACTGAATGCCCTCCTGCCATCTGGAGGGGCCAGAATGATGTTACCCCCATACTCTCTCCCAGGCACAGTGGTTGAGTCATCTCAAAAATGCCACAGGACCTGGCTTCCTGGCACAGAAAACATCTTGGGTAGGCACAGATGATCTCACCTGGTCTCCTGGCTTGCCCTCTTCCCAGGTGAGGTCCGCTGTGTGGGAGGTCCATGGATCCCTTTCTATATGGGCCTGGACATGGCCATACTTCAACAGTAATCTCCTGCCTCGTGAGACAGGTGGAGGATTGAGGCCTATGCCAACAGAGATGAAACCCAAACACTATAGACTGCTCAGACGTGGAGCAGTGTGTATGTCCCAGAGGAAGGGCCAGAGAGGCCAGTGTTGCAGTGTGTTTGGGACACTGGCCTGGCGCCATCCCCCCACCTGCCAAAGGAGGCAGTGCTGCTCTTGCCTAGTGCCCACCGCTAGAGGCATGATCTGTGGGGAAAGCCTGGTTGATGAATCTGGAAGTAACCAGAAATGGGGAGCAAACTGACCATGAGAAGCAGTGTGTGATGATCAGGATGGCGGTCTGCTCTGCAGCCAGGCTCACTTGTGAATCCATCTGAAAGAACATCCAGGCACGAGAAGGCCTGGTCAAGGGATCTGCCTCGTTCATTATTTGTACTTAGCAGCAGGCTTCAGCTGATGGCCCTAGAGTCCCATACTGGCCACACTGCCTCACAAAGACCCTTGTGGCTGAACATAGACCTGCGTCCTCATGAGTTCTTTAGTCCCTTATGGCTCATAGACATGTCTGTGTGTCCCTTAAGGAATGTCTAGGTCATACCGCCAACATAGATGTCAGATGGGATTCACAGGCCCCTGGCAACTTGGCCTGGAGTTCTGCTGGGGTGCCTGCCACCCTCTCCTGGCCTAAGGTGGGATCTGGAGCTCAGTGGTATCTGTGAACCTGGCCAGTAATGTCAAAGACACCAGCTAAAGCTAAAAAAGGAAACCAGTGTGTGGAGGAGCAAGTGTGCCCAGCACAGACACAAACACTGCCGGCCACAGAACCATAGGGGAAAGGCTATGCCGCTCACTTTTTTTTTTTTTTTTTTTTTTTTTTTTTTTTTTTTTAGAAGAGGCCCCAGCACACACAAAAACACTCCCGCGCCCAAAACCATAGGGGAAAGGGTTTGCCGCCCTCTTTTTTTTTTTTTTTTTTTTTTTTTGCCTTTTTGAGACAGGGTCTCCCTGTAGCCCCAGCTGGCCTGGAACGCTCTATGTAGACCAGGCTGGCCTTGTACTCAGAGAGATCCGCCTGCCTCTGCCTCCGGAGTGCTGGGACTAAGGCACGTCCCATCATGCCCGGCTGCAGCTCACACTTTTAACTGAAAAGCTACTGTCAGTGCTGAGCCTGATAACCCCCACAGAGCCACCTTCTGCTGGGGACATCTAGGACCTGTCCTGCAGAGCACAGATACTTCCTCTCGTCTGCTCTGGTGGGAATTCAGCGATGATCTTCAGGTAGGTGTGGTCTTCTCCCAGTCTGGCTGAGTGATCAAGAAGGGAGGCTGGGGAGCAGGCTCTTCGGAGAGAACGCTCTTGAGTGGCAGCAGCAAGCTACAGAATGGAGGGCTAGCAAGGACAGATTTGGGCCAGATAACCAGGCTGTGACTGGTTTTGCCTGAAGGAAGTGTTAACACAATGCTGACCTGAGCAGTCAGACACCTGCAAGGTTCAAACTCAGCAGTGCCACCTCCTGTGTGGGCAGAAAACTCCCCTTCTGCAGGGTCTAGGGCAATATTTTGAACCTTCTCCCAGGGAGGGTGGCACTGAGCCACACTGGGCATCACCAGACTAAAGGCACTCCAGGAAGGAACACCACCCAGCAAGGCTCCCTGGAGAAGGGCTCAGTACAAACAGTACTTGAAAAAAGCTAAAAGGCAACTCCGGTGACTGTAAACTCCTAAGGCCCTAAGTGATGCAATGCCTTAACACTGGCAGCATGGTTGTGCACCACTGCACTGGCACCAGGCAGCAGTAGGTGCTGTCCCCTGTAAGTAGCACTGTCAGCTCCCAGCATGTCTCTTGCTTTCTAGGGCATGGAGGCAGCCTGCCCACAGCCTAACCAATCCATATTCTCCCAGAACCACCAACCCCTGGGCAGCTGTCCACAGCACACACTAACATCCCACCATGACTTCTCTACCTAACGGGGCACTGCAACCAGGTCCCAGCCCCAGTGTCTGCTGTCAGCAGCCGCAGACAGCTCCATGCTGCCACACACAGCAACCTGAGTTTTTTTTTTTATTATGCTTTTGTGTATTTGTGTGGTACACATATGTAGGTTAGAGGACAAGTTGTACAAGTCAGGGTCCCTCTTTCCACCATGTGGGTCCCAGGGATTGAACAAAGGTTGTCAGGCTTGCCAGCAGGTACGGTTACCAGCCGAACCATCTTGCAAGTAAGCCCATGAGTTCTTTACAGAGGTGAAGTCAGGATTCTTTTTGGTTTTTGTTTTTACAGGGTCTCGCTAGTCTCAGCCTGCCTCGAAATCATTATGTGGACCAGGCTGGCCTCAATCTCAGAGATCTACTTGCCTCTGCCTCCCAGAGGCTGGATTAAAATCTCGAGCCCCCATGCTGAGAAGCCACGATTCTTGATTTCATCATAGAAAATAACTTCAAGATGATTCCGTATGAAGCACAGTTGGAGTTTAGTAGGAGACTGTAGGCATAGACTTAAGAACAGGAGTTACTAGTGTGTTTAGGAAGCTGGGCATGGTGGTGCATGCCTTTAGTCCCAGCACTCAGGGGGGCAAAGGCAGGCATATTTCTGTGAGTTTGAGGCTAGCCGCTAGCCTGGTGCACGTAGTGAGTTCCAGGCCATCTGGGGCTACAGGGAGACCCTGTCTCAAAAAAAAAAAAAAAAAAAAAAAAAAAAGTTTAGGAAAAGCAGAGCACACACAAGTGTACTCAGGGGCTGCTCCAGAGAGTGGCATGTGAGGCTTTTCAATTGAGGCATAGATCTGATCTTAGTGGCTCCTAAAGTTACATCTCAAAGGGTTGCTAAGGAATTTTAATGAGATAATGCTGCAGGTCCTGTTGTGCATTGGATGGCATTACAGTTAATCAGGTCAAACCACAGGTTGCAAGTGACTTAACATATTTTTGCTGTAAACAATAGTTTACAGTCTTGTTTATGAGATTCCCAGAAATGTAGAGGTTCACATATGGTAGGGGTGTAAGGCCACACTCAGAGGTCATATACTCATGGACTGAAGCATAATCATTACGATTTTAACATTCTTCTTTGAAAATACTGCTATACAGAAGGAATAGTGTCTCTACGTAGGCAGTCTTCAAGCGAATTTTGTCAACTGTGCGGGAATCCTTGACTCAGCGGGTACAAACTTCAGTCTGACTGGAGGAAGGCCCTTTCCCTTCTCGTTCTATCCGTCCTCAAGAAGTGTATCATGGGGGATGGAGAGATGGCTCAGCGGTTAAGAACACTGTTCTTGCAGAAGACCTGGGTTCAAATCCCAGCACCCACATGGCGGCTACCAACTATCCGTAACTCCAGTCCCAGGGGATCCGACAGCCTCTTCTGAACTCTGCAGGCATTGCACGACATGGGTGCACTTACCTACATGCAGGCAATACACGCATTACACATAAACTAAAATACAAAATAAATAAAAATTTTTAAAAAGTGTATCATGTAACAAGGTCATGATCCCAGGGAACCTGCAGAATGGGAGGAGGAGGGCATAGAGCTTGGAGAAGTGTCCAGAACTCCATGGCTTCAAAAGTTCACAACTGGCTCTTTTAGAAAGCAGAGGAGCAGGGAGAGGGCTCGGTACAGTGTTTGCCTTCCCAGTATGCGAACTTGAGCTCGCTCTCCAGCACCTACGTAAAAGCCATGCTTGGTGGCAGAGACACGAGGGTCCCCGGGGGCTTGGGGGCCTGCCAGCCTAGCCTAATGTGTGAGCTCCGGTGAACGAGACCTCCTGTCTCAAAACAGTAAGTGAAGACGCTCTCAGGAACGACACCCAACATCGACCGCTGGCACCCACACATATGTTCCCATATATGAACACGGGAACACACACAAAGCGAGCTACTATGGCCCTAGAGCCCCGCCATAAAGACTCTGTCCTGCGAGTTAGACGGGCCAACAAGGATTAGGGACGCCTCACGACGGGCCGGAAGAGGAACACACACACCCCAGCCTCCCGGGCTCCCCCGTTCCCCCCGCCCCCCTCCGCTGCATCCTCCACCTCTGGGGGGGGCTGGGCAGATCCTGGGGAGGGAGGTTCCTGGGGGGAGGGGGCCTCCGGGGGGACTGGACCCCCCCCGTGGGAGAGGGGGCTGAGGCCGGAAGCACTGCTTCCCGACGGCGCCCCCGGCCGAGAGCGGCCAAGCTCCAGGGGGACGCGCGGGGCGGTGCTGAATGGCGGGCGGGGCCTGACACCGCCCCCGCGCTTCCTCCTCTTTCACTTTCACTTCCGCCGTGAGCGGGTCCCGCCGCCCGAGCATGGACGACCCCGACTGCGACTCCACATGGGAGGACGAGAGCGGGAAGGACGGCGACGACAGCCCGGAGAACGACACGGCCGACGAGGACGGCGGCGCCGAGGAGCCGCGACCCTGCACCCTGCAGGTACGGCCGGGGAGTCCGGACGCCGAGCCAGGCCGTGAGCGGACCGCGGGGCCGCCTGCCCGTAGCGGGGCGTAGCGCCCGGGCTCGGCCGGGCAGTGCGTTGGTGACGTCAGAGCCGCGACTGGCGGGGGGAGCGCTCGAGTTCGTGTGACGTCAGAGTCGCGACTGGAGGGGGTCGGGCGCGGGTGACGTCAGAGCCGCGACTGGCGGGCGGGGCGCGGGTGACGTCAGAGCCTGCCCTGCAGCCCCTGGCGCAGCGGGTCTGCCCGGGGCGCCGTAGAGACACCGTCGACCCTGCCCGGCGCCCGGCGCTCCGCGCTGGGCTGGGAGGACGCCGGAAGGGTCACTGTCAGCCGCTGGCTCTACCGAGTTTGTCTCCCGGGTTACTTCTGTAGCAGGCAGCGGGTTAGTGGTTGTGCCAGTCTGCAGGGCGCATTGTCCTGGTTCCAGCTGTGGTTCTCGGAGTGGAGAGTCAGGACTGTGGCCCCAGGATCTGTAGTCTCCCCATGACAGCGACCACTGGTTATCCGGCTTGTGTGCTGTTGGTGGGAAAGTGGCCCAGAATCTGGAGGGGCTTCCATGCAGGACATCGCTGGCCTCTGCCTGATGCTTTGGGGTCAAGCTGGGTTGGGTAGAGGCAAGGTTACAGGGGAAGCTCCGTTCTTCTTCCCCTTGGTGCTGTAGCCTCCCGAAAGTGCTGATGGGAGTTCCTGTTTCTCCACTACAGCCCTTGGGTCACTCCTGAAACAGTGCTCAGGCACTTTGACTTCTGGAGGTGCCCAGGACTTGTGTCTTTGCTTCCTGCTTGAGAGCCCAAGCCTCACCCACTCCCCTGCAACTCCCTCCCCCCTTCCTTAATGCCCAGTGTGGGACCTTGTAGAGACTTTTCGTTTAGGGGCTCTGGGCTGGCCCTGTTCCATCTTTTGTACCTGGTCACTGCTGGCCATCCAGGTAGAGAAGTGAAAGTTCATGGCTTCTGCTGAATTTCAGTCTATTATCCCTCACCTAGGCAAGACAACCTCACTAGCTGACCCTAGCTTAGAAGTCAGGCGAAGGAGAAACCAGATGGAGTGCCTGGGATTTAAGGCATAAAGGAGGGGTTCCAAACTGTGATACAGGGGCCTGGCCTTTGCCCCTTCTGATGTTCTTAGGTTGTTTTCTAGTATAGGACAGGGCTTTGTGTTGTAGCCACCATCCTACTTAGCAGGGCTCCACCCTCATAAAAGTATCCATGTTACCTGTTGCCTCTGATCCTGTCCCGGAGTCCTAGGTGCTTGATCTGCAGAAACAGACTTGAGGGGTGTGAGGCAGTAAGGAGCCCTGATCTTGCTGAAAAGCCAGCCTCAGGCCTGGACGCCAGGGGCCATGGGATCTTCCATCATATTGGTCCAGGAAGGAGCAGGGTTTATAAGGAAGAGGCTTCATCTATCCACCCACTCATCCATCAGACCCAGCCAGAGGCATCTGGGTCTTCTATAGGTGGCAAAGCTGCTGCCCTTGAGGGTACAGCCAATGTGAAGAGAGATGGTATAGTACTTGGGGACATTTGGTAGGGAGATACATAATGCACTAAGACCAGAGTGAAAGTGACCAGCAGACCAAGTAGAAGCAGATGCAGCTGGGGCTTGAGTACATGAGGGCATCAGCTGTACTCCATGGCAGTGTGCAAGGTAGCCTGGGCCAAGCCATCTTGAAGAGGGAGTTGAGGAAGACAGGAAGGGGGCAGGTCTCAGCTGTGACCACACTAGCCCCACTGTCTATGTTCAAAGTGCTTCACTAGGGTCTAGGTCAGCCTGCCTGCTCAGAGCCCCCTGAGATATGCTGCTCTTAGCGGGGGCATACCCCACGTGCTTCATCCTTTTTCTTCTCTCCCCAGTCCAGAATGACAGGGTACCGCAACTGGCGAGCCATGCAAGACATGCGCAGATACCGGCACCACTACCCGGTAGGTACCCATGGACACCATCTGGAGACACAGCCCTCTCCCAAGTAGAGTATCCCCTACCTACAGGGAGCCCAGCATGGTGTTCTGGGATGTGCCTCTTGTTATCCAGAACACAAGCTCAGTGTCAGTTTAGATCCATGTCCTTCCCCCTGGTCATGGGGTAATGAAGCACATTGCCCTACCTAAGCCCCAACATCTAGCTTTAAAATAGGGTACCAGCTCCAGCCTGCTGACACATCATTCAGTGATCCATACAGGGCTCTCTGACTGCACATGGGGTTCATCCTCAGCCCCTCTCCTCAGTACCCATGAGTCTCTGGCAACTCCTGTACTACTTTTGAGGTACAGAGGGAAGTGACCAGCCATGACCCCTGTTGGTAGGGAGGGAGATGAAGGTGATACTGTACCCCAAACCTGCCCTTACTTGCAGAGTAAATCCTGAGCTGGCTTTGGGGTCTTGACCAGCTGCCCCCTCCCCTGAATGCATGAGTCTGGGGGATCCTCAGAGACAGCCTGTTTTTCATAAGTCTCCAACCATCCTTTCTCTGGCTCCTCAGGATTTGGTAGAACGAGACTGCAATGGTGACATGTCCAACCTGAGTTTCTACAAAAATGAGATCTGCTTCCAGCCAAATGGTACCTGGCCACACAGCCCCAGCACTTCTGCCCTCTACCAGTTGACCAGTCACTGGGACTCTGGTTCTGGATGTCCCCAGTCCAGCAGACTTTCAAATAGCCCTATAGTGCCCCCTGGAGGCCACCAAGGGGGTTGGGGGTTGGATTCAAGGTTGGCCCACTGAAGGGCCAGAAAGTGTTTGAGATCTTCCCTCTCCTAGGCTCTGGCTGCAGTTGTTCAGCTTTGCCATTGCAGTGTGAAAGCAACACGTAAACGAGATAAGAATGGGTTTAAGGCTTTTTTTCTTTTTCTCAAGATTGTCTTTCTGTGTATCCTGGCTGGCCTCAAACCTAGTACCCTTCTACCTAAGCCTGCCAAGTGTTGAGATTCCAGACATGATCCACCATATTTGGTGGCATAAACATAAATTGGCTTCGTTGGTACCTGCCCACACCCACTCATTTATGCAGTTGCTTTCTTGCTGTAACATGGAACAGGCCATGTGGCCATGTAGCCTGAGCTGTTTTCTATTTGGCCCTTCACAGGCCCCCTCCCTTGACCATGTTCCAGGATTGGGTTCTGCAGGGGTTTTCTTTATCACCTGGGCAAGGGTGTTCTATGGGGAGTAAGCGCTCCCCACTCCCTGAAGAAATAGACCTAGGCACCTAAAGCTGTGCATTTTAGATCAGAGATGCTGTGGTCAGCTCTGCTGACTCCTGAGAGCCCTAAAGGGATTGGGGATAGGCAGTGCTTTTGACACAGCTCTGTCACAGTGGCCTCTGCAGCTGACTTGTCCCCATGGGGTTTTCAGGCTATCTCATTGAAGATATTCTTCAGACCTGGAAGGACAACTATGATCTCCTTGAGGAGAATCACTCCTACATCCAATGGTGAGTGGGACTGAGCAGGCAGGCCTTAGGGAAGGCTGGGCCTGGCACCTAGGCAGGAGTCCCCCCAGCCATCTGCTATCTCATGCTGCATCCGGGTTTAAGTGTGTGCAGAGCACTCTGTCCTTTCCATAAGTCTACATGCATATGACAGGTGTTGGCTGCCTACCCCTGGTTTGTGTCCCTGTTCCTGGGCCCTGCGGGGGTTGCTGCTTCCAAGTCTGGTGGGGAGACTGGGAAGGCCTACCTGTCAAGAAGGGCAACTTGGGCTGGACTGCACTTGTCTTGACCATGGCAAGGATTAATGACACGAGAAAGAAGTAATGACACGAGAAAGAAGTCTGGAAAGCATAAGGGCCGCTCTTCCCCTCAAAGGCGGTGGGCACACTGGTCTTGCCCATTGTGACTTTCTACCACATGGCCTGTTGAGCACATAGGCCTGGGCTCCAAGTAACCATCATACCCTCCTCACCTGTGTTCCTTGTGAACCAGGCAAGGCCAGCCCGCCCCTCCCAGGGTCAAGAGAGAGCCAATGAGGGCAGTGAGGTGCCACCCAACACCAAAGTGCCTGCGCCCTCCCCGTCCTCACAGGCTGTTTCCTCTGAGGGAACCAGGAGTGAACTGGCATGCCAAGCCCCTCACACTCAAAGAAGTCGAGGTAAGTTCCCATCCTGGGCCAGAGTGGGGAAGTCAGGGAAGCTGCCCCTTTCTGCAACGATGTCACTGTGCTGCTGTGTCTGGTGTTGCCTCGTGTTGGCACTGTAGAGGTCCAGGGGCCAAAAGAGCCCCTGCTCTGATGCTCTTCCCTCAAGCAGCGCCCTTCACCGCCTGGTTCTTCCTGGCCACCTCTGGTGAAGGAGCGAGAAAGAAAATGGTCTTTCTTGTGTGCTGAAAGGTGCATGTGTGATGCGCCATCTGGGATAATTTTAACTCAGAGGCTGGCCAGAACCTGTCCCATGGTGCTCCTGTGACATCTAGAAATCTGCCTGTTGAAGAACAGCCCCACCTGTTGGACACCAAGGAAAGGAAGGCAGCTTTAAGGTGGTGCTGATGGTGGAGATAACGGACAGGAGCACCTTGCACAGTGAGGGATTCTTGTGACAGGTGGAGCTGGTTCAGAGACACAACCATACCAGGCTTAGAGAAGAAAGTTAGAGATGGGCTGGTGTCATCTCACCCTGAGAGGCGAAATTAGGGCCCAAGCATTGGCTGACCTGGTGTGCAGGAGCTACCTACTGCTCCCTGGGAACTGTAGTCAGGGAGGGCCACCTGAGCACACTGTGGGGGTCTTTTCCAGGCTTTCAAAAGCTCCAAGGAGGTCAGAGAGCGTCTTGTTCGGGCCTATGAACTCATGCTGGGCTTCTATGGGATCCAACTTGAGGACAAGGACACGGGTGCTGTGTGTCGTGCGAAGAACTACCAGGAGCGCTTCCAGAACCTGAACTGGTAAGGACAGGGCCCTGTTGGCAGCCCCCCCCCGTTTTTCCCTTAGTATCTGGAGCTCCATTTCAGGCAAATGTGAGGCCCCATACAGGCTCTGACACCCTCTTTACCTGAGGGGGGCTACCACCTGCCAGGGAAGTTTCAGCCCCTATACCCACTCAGGAGGCAGGGGCAAGGAAGGTCCACAGACAGCACATCCACCCCTCTAGCCTCCAGCAGCGTCTCCCAGACAATAAGGGCTGGGTCACCTCCACATAATCGAAGCTCTTGTCTATGGGTCAAACAGCTATTTTCTCAGGTGGGAGGGGAGGGATTGAGGAGACCCTGGAACTTTGGGGTGGAGCCAATGGGAGGGTACCTTGGCCAGATGTGCACTCCTAGGACCAGGTTCATCCCCCTGCCACCTACCTTTGTAGTCGAAGCCACAACAACCTGCGTATTACACGCATCCTCAAGTCGCTGGGTGAGCTGGGCCTGGAGCACTACCAGGCACCGCTGGTCCGCTTCTTCCTGGAGGAGACATTAGTGCAACTTGAACTGCCCGGCGTGCGCCAGAGTGCCCTGGATTACTTCCTGTTTGCTGTACGCTGCCGGCGACAGCGCCGTGAGCTTGTGCACTTTGCGTGGGAGCACTACCAGCCCCGATGCAAGTTTGTGTGGGGGCCCCATGACAAGCTGCAGAGATTCAGGCCCCAGGCTATGCCCCAGCCACTGATGGGCCTGGGACAGGCAGAGAGGGATGAAAGTTCTGGGGACCCCTTCCAAGAGCCTGACACCGAGGGTGAGACCTTTGGATCTGAGGGGGACCCAAGTGGAGACAGTGAAGCAACCAAGGATTCCCAGCTGCTGACCACTGAGCCCCAGGATGTGGGAACCTTGGATGAGAACCAGAGGGATGAGGCTGAGTCCTTGAGCCCTAAAGAGAGCAAAAAGCGGAAGTTGGAGGGGAACAGGCAAGAGCAGGCCCCAGGGGAGCCAGACCCCCAAGGTGTCTCTGAGGTAGAGAAAATTGCCCTGAACCTTGAGGGGTGTGCCCTCAGCCCTGTCCACCAGGAACCTAGGGAGACTGAACAGCCCTGTCCTGTGACCCCTGGGGCGGGGGTGGCTGATGAAGTGAGAAAACGGAGGAAGGTGGAAGAGGAAGCTGGGGACCATGGAGTAGCCACCAACTGTAACACTCAGATACTGGAGGCCCAGGCCCCACCTCCTGCCTCTTCAGAGTGCTCCGAGGCCCAAAAGGACGGGAGTGGGCCAGAGGAGGACCCAGAAGGCCAACAGGAGCACCGGGGGAGCCTGGAGGACCAGGGGAGCCTGGAGGAGGGCCCTGGCCCTGGCCCCACAGGAATCTCAGTGAATGAGTCAGAGGAGGCGGCAGGAATGAGGCTCTCTGCTGAATCCCCAAAGCCTTAGGGGTGCATCTTGGCTCTGCCCAGCCTGCTGCAGGGGCTGACAGGGTCACAGAGCCCTGTTGCTGGCTCTTCTCGGTGCCCCACAGTGCTGGCCTCTCCCTGGTGGTCCCTGCAGTGGTCACCAGAGGGACTGAGGCCCTGCCCTCAGGGAAGGCCAAAGCCTTCAGAACCCTCCTTACCTCACTGCATCCTCCCCCACTGCCCTCTGAGCCCCGTCTTTGTGAACAGACCCCTAAGGGTCTGGGGGGAGGGGCCTCTTTTCTTAGTCTGGTGCCAAGTGAGGCCTTTTCTGAATAAACTCTTTTGACTTTGTCTTTCTGATGAGGACCAGAATCCTGTTCTGTTGTCTGATTTCATTAACTAATGTTTACCTAGACTTCCCTCTTTCCCCCAGTTCAGAGCAATCTAGCCACTGCCCACCATGGTGCTTTGCCCACACAAAGCCTCTCACGCACAAACACCACCACTGTCTTATGACACAGGTCCCCAGTGCAGGCACCCAGCCCAAGCACACTCACCTGTCCTGAACTTTCAGCCTCCCTGAATGCAGGGCTGGACCATCAGCCCTCAACTACTGTTCTGTGATAAAACAAGAAAGCAAGCCAGGCGTGGTGGTGCACACCTTTAGTCCCAGCATTTGGGAGGCAGAAGCAGGGGGATCTTTGTGAGTTCGAGGCCAGCCTGGTATACATAGTTTACGACAGCTGGGGTACAAGGAGACCCTGTCTCAAAAAAGACAAAAGAAAAGGGTTACTTTCATCATAAAGCTGAGTTCACCGTCAAGGAAGAAGCCTGGAGACAAACTGAAGCAGAGGCTGTGGCAGAACACTGCTTACTGGCTCGCTTCCCCTGACTAATTCAGCTATCTTCTACAGCCCAGGTCCACCTGCCCATGGTGGGCTGGGCCCTCCTGCATCAATGAGCAATTAAGAAAATGCCTCACGGGGCTGGAGAGATGGCTTAGCGGTTAAGAGCACTGACCACTCTTGCAGAGGACCTAGATTTGATTCCTAGCACCTCCATGGTGGCTATGAACCATCCTTAACTCCAGTTCCAGGGGAATCCAAAATTCTTCTGACCTCCATGGCATTGCATGACATGGGTGCACTCACATACATGCAGGCAATACATTCATACACAAAAATGAAAAAGAAAAATTGCCTCAGCCTCACAGGCCAGTCTGATAAAATTCTTCAACTGAGATTCTTTCCCCATTGATCCTAGCTTGTGTCAACTTGACAAAAACTGTCCAGCTCAAGTGCCATTTGTCACATGCTCAAGAATATAGGGGCTAGAGCTGGAGAGATGGCTCCGGAATGTGTACTGTACTGCTTGGAGTTGGAGAGATGGTTCAGTGGTTAAGAGCACTGGCTGCTCTTGTAGAGGACCCAAGTTTGATTCCCACACCCTTATGGTGGCTAACATCTGTAACTCCAGTTCCAAGGGATCCAATGCCCTCTTCAGACCTCCAAGGGTGTTGCACAACAAAGGCACACTTGTGTGCAGGCAATACACTTAGACACATAAAATTTAAAAAAAAGTCTTTTTTAAATAAGGCACATTTGATTCCCAGCACCCATGTAGGGTGGCTCCCAGTTCCAGGGGAACTGCATACCTTTCTCTGGCATCTGCACATGTGGCAGACACATGAAAATTTAAATCTTTTTAAAAGAACTTGGGAACTGGTACACGGTCCCCTTGGGTGAGTGGAGACTGTTGAGGTTGCAGGTCTAGACCATCTTCCGTGTGCCCCTGTCCACTAGGCCTCTGCCAAGGTGCTACCCTCCTGGCCCTATGTAGCCCATCAGACTGAACTTCCCTGGCATTGCCCCCTTCTGGTTCCTTAACATATCTGTCACCAGGTTGAGCTTTATGAGCCTCAGAGAGGAGGGGGCTCATACTTGTCTTTGGGCAAACCAGGTGACAGAGTTCATGTCACAGACCTTTTACGTAAAGCTCATAAGGAACGTTAACTAGGACATGTTACCGCTCTTTTGTTTTCGCTCTACTAAATACATCGCGGAACGACAGTGATTGCTTACAGAAAGCAAGCAGTTGGGCGCACAAGTGACACGTATTTTTCTTAAATAACCTGAGTGACATTCATGTCACAGTCCTTTGATGCTCTTAGGGAGGGCACAGTTCCCCCTGAATTGAATCCATGGGTCCACTGCTATTTCTCAACAAGATCACCATCCTGTGCTATGGACAGAGCCCTTCCAAGGCTGTGGGCCCTCTGGCACCTTAGCTGTGGTTTGACCTACTGGTGAGGCTCCCACCATGGAAGGGAAATGGAGGCTGAGATAGATGTGGGGCATCCAGCAGTCAACTTAAGTGAGATCTCTCTGATCTTCAGTGCCTAGGCACCTTGGTCCAGATGGCTAGGGTTCAAGTTGGATAGGTAAAATCAACACCTGAAGCAGGGGGAGAGGTCCTGTGCCCAGCACCAGGCATGTAGGAATGGCAGCTGTTTTGGCCCGCCTGACCCCCAGCCTTTAGGGAGAATGGTGTTTCAAAGCAAGTAGCTTCAGTTCTGCCCCCACCTCGCAGGTGTTTGGAAGCATAGACTTGACAGGTCTGGGATGTAAGGCTGGCCTGGCCCCAGGAAGCTGCAGGGGTGAGCGTGTGAGGAGGTTGAAAGCCAAGTCTGCCTCAAATGCCAGGCTGCTCCCCAGACCCAAGCTGAAGGCCAGCTGTGCTTCGTGAGTGGCACCCAGCAGCTGCCCTGTTAGCTGCATGCTAGGTGCTGGGGTGCCCAGGAGACCCTGGGTCAGGTGGAAGATACTTTAGAGGGGCCACCACACTCTAGTCTCCAGGTTGGACTGAGGAAGCACCACCTGTACCAGGCCCCTGGATTAGGGTAGGAAGGGTCTCTGCTATCCAAGTTGATCCCCTCCCTTGTCAGAGGACTAATCTCTAGACTCTGCTGGAGGGCAGGACCTCCTGAGCTTCCCCTTGCCTGGCTCCCAAGTCCGTTCTTGCATGCTTGCTGCAGAGCTCTGAAGGAAGCAGCTGGGGGCTTGATGGTAGAGCAAGGCTCTCCTGTTACTTTACCTGGCAGGTGAGAGCTACAGCGTCCCACAGGGCTATTTTGGTCACACACACACACACACACACACACACACACACACACACACACACCTTCACACCCTTGTCCACTGGATCTGTGTTCATTCCCATCTGGTGAACCCTGCAAATGCCTACAGACTTGACGTTTCCGCCATACCCTGTAAACCCAGGGCAGCATTTCAGATTCCCAGGAAGCAGGAGTAGGCTGTGCTCCCACAGCTTTTGTGAGTCCACAGGCACTTTAGATGTTTGATAGGTAAGGGAGGGGCTGAGATGGAGGAAGGGCTGGTACCTGGCCCTCCTGGAGCTTTGAGCCTCCCTCTTCAAGTTCACCATCTTGTACCCTCTTGGGGGACAGGGTGCCCTACGAGAGGTTTTCAATGGTGGCTGACATAGATACAGCCAGGCCTTGCCCACAGGGGGAGGCTTAAAAGATGGGTACAGGGTGCCTAGCAAGCAGCTCTAGGCTGACCCCATATAGGGCCCCGGTCCTGATAGGCATCGTAGAGGTGTAGTGGGAGGTCACCCACCACCCACCTGGTCCTCCTTCCTGTGCTGGGATTAAAGGTGTGTACCACAATGCCCCACAGCCCCTTGCAACTTTTTTTTTTTTATTAAAAAAAAAATTGTATTTCCCAGCTCTTGGGAGGCAGAGGCAGGCGGATCTCAGTGAGTTCAAAGCCAGCCTGGTCTACATAGTGAGTTCCAGGACAGCTGGAGCTACAGGGAGACCCTGTCTCAAAAAGACCAAAAACAAAACAAAAAATGTATTTATTATTTTATGCATACGTGTGCATTGCCTGCATGCATGTAGGTGCACCCATGTTGTGCAATGCGTACAGAAGACAGAAAAGGCCACTGAATTTCCTGGAACTGGAGTTTCCAACAGTTGTTAGCTGCCATGGGTGCTGGGATTCGGACCCGGGTCTTCTGCAAGAACGGTGTTCTTAACCTCCGACCCATCTCTCCAGACCCCCCCGCCCCCCGGACTTCTTAAATGGCGCCCTTCACCGCCAGGTTCTTCCCGGCCGCCTCTGGCGAAGGAGCGAGAAAGAAAACATTCTTCCTTGTGTGCTGAAAGGTGCGTGTGTGACGCGCTGCCCCGGGATAATTTTAACTCCGAGGCTGCCGGCTCCTCTCTCCGCGGCCGGCGCGCCCTCGCCCGCCCAGGTCCGGGAGGCTGAATGGGGGCTTGTGCGCCGGCAGGCGGGCGGGGCAGGGCGGGGCCCTCGGCAGGCACCGCGCACCGCGCACCGCGCACCGCCCACCTCCCCGCCGGGCCGTCGGCCACCGGGCGCCCGAGGCTCAGAACCCGTCCAGCCATGACGCGCGCTCCCGCTCTGGCCCTGCTGCTCCTGGGGCAGCTCCTGACGGCCACCTCCGCGCAGGTGAGTGCGCCCCGCCGCCTGGGGTCGGGGTTAGCGCGGGACGGCGAGCGGCGCGGCCGGGGACGACCCCTGCCCGGTGGGTCCGACCCGCAGCCCGCGGTCGACGACCTTCGAGGACGTCTGCCGCGGCCTCGCCACCGGAGTGGAGTGTGGCGGTGCGGCTGAGGCCCACGGACACCAGGACCTGTCGGCCTTGTACCCGCGTTCCCACTAGTCTTCGCCGGTGGAGTCCGGCCGCTTCCAGAGCTGCCACCACACTCAGAACGCACAATGTCGCCTTTGTTCCTGGAGACGCCCCACGGGGCCGCGGTGCAGCCGCGCCTGGCCTGAGCGAGAATAAACTGCGCACAGGCGCCAGGCTCCGGACATTGGTGGCTTTGGGGGCGGGGGTCTCTGAGGCAGGGAAGGGTCACGAGCCGCTGGGATAGTCCCCAGAGCTGCTTGGGCTAGGGAAGATGGGACGGGAGGACTGACCCCTGGAAGGGAGGGCTACCTAATAACGTTTCTCTCAATTTCAGAAAATGGGACCTCGAGGCCCCCCTGGTCCCCAAGGACCACCTGGGAAGCCCGGCAAGGATGGCATTGATGTGAGTCAGGAAAGGGGTGGGGAAGGTGCCCAGAAATTCCTGGCCTGTGACCACAAATCCAAGCCCCTCCTCTGAGAGCTGGAGTGGAAGACAGGGCATCCTCCAGTGGGAGTAAAAGGACCTTGTTCCTTCCTAGGGCAGACCCTGGGATGTAGAAAACAGAGTGATCCTTGGGCTGGAAGTGGGGCCCTGAGGAGCATGTGCACCTGTATCTAGAGCTATGGGACATGTCACTCTGGAGGCCTGGGCGTCTTGGGGCTCTTGAGAGTGGAGCCAGTCTTGGAGGGGGTTGGGGGCCAGCTCAGCCTCAGAGATGGTGTCCTTTGGGTGTCCCACCCAGTTGTGGGCTAAACAACTTTGGGAGGCAGGTAAAATCCTGTGCCTGCCCCCCATCATCTGGAATAGAAAGCTCTGCATAGGGCCTTCAGAATAGGCAGCCCCCAATCATGGTGTTCCTCTATAGGGAGGGACCATGAAGGCCCACACTTCTCCTCAGCCTCCCTGAGAATCTCCAACACTTAGCTCAGCAGAGATGGCCATGGCCATGCTGCAGGGCCACCATGTTTAACCCAAGTGGCCCAGGGTCTTGCATTCTGTGCCCCATCCTAGCGAGCACCCAGGCATCAGGGCTCCCACTTACAATGGCCTTAAAATCTCAGTTAAAATATTCAGCCACCCTAGTAGGTGTCTATAGAGGATGAGGCTGCTGGGACACCTTCCTGGAGAATGGGGATGGGGGTGCTGTCACCTCCTAAGCAGATGGATTTGGGAAGTCTCTCAGCCACCCACAGCCACTTTATATAAAGCTCTAGGTCAGAGGGTCTATATGGAGTATTCCTGCTGCCCTGTGTCCCTGTGCTGTCAAAGTGATCCCCAAATGTTGTATGGCTCAGCTCATCTCTAGCTCACCTTTTCCCTGCCTGGCCCATACAGAGGGTCCAAGTATAGATTAGAGGGGCTGGGGACCCCCACATTGTCTCCATGGGCCAAGCTTCCAAGACTGGATTGAAGAATGACTGCTCTCAAGTGGAAAACCATTTTCAGTGTAACTTGTGGGCATCTTCTTTTCTGCAGGGAGATGCTGGCCCTCCAGGTCTTCCTGGGCCTCCGGTGAGTGTTCTTGGCTGTGGTAGAGGAGGCTTTCCCAATTTGCAACGGAGAGATGGATGCAGAAAACATCACTGATGCCCTGTCCTCACTACCATGGGCTTGTGTTGCCCCAAGAGAGGCCTGAGGGCAGGGCCAGGAAGGCGGTGGGAAGGGAGTATGTGGAACTCTGTGTCTGCTGGATCTGTCGGAAAGCTTATTTTGGGTCAGTGCCCAGACAAGTCAGGGAAGAGGGATAGTAAAGTTCTGTAGTTCCCTCCCTATTGGAACTGCCTGGGCCCCTTGCCTTGGTTGACAGTCCTGGGCCCAATGGCATTCCAATACTGGGACCTGCCAGCCCTTTGCTGGGGAGGCTGGATCTACCCAGTGAACATTCTACAGATTCAGTGAGGGTGGGGCAGTCTTCTGTGGGCCTGCAGGGTAAGGGGGACTCATCCCCGTGGCTGGGAAGTGCCCAGCATGAAGATATTTTTCTTCCTTTGAAGAAGGCCACAGCTTGGAGCCAGACACCTCCCAAATACCTCTTTTTCTTCCCACATAGGGCCCCAAAGGGACCCCAGGAAAGCCAGGGAAGCCAGGAGAAGCAGGACTGCCAGGACTGCCTGGTGTGGATGTGAGTGCCCCCCCCAACATCTCTACCTCACTTTACCCCCACCCCCACCCAGTCGAGGGTCAGGCTTTCATTGCTCTTCTCCAGCTGGGCTTGCTTGGACAGGAAACCTTGTTCTGACAAAAGTCTGCAGTAGCTCCCAACAGGGGTCCCTGGCCTTCATCCAAGACGCTGCCAGCTTCTGGCTGGGACAGAGCCAGCCTCCAGTAGCAGGAAGCCCCACTGGCTCTTGCTGCTCTAAGAACAAGTGCCCATCCTCAGGCTTCCTATACCAAGCTGGCCATGCTGGTGTTCCTCCAAGCCGGCTCCTTGATCCCCGTGACGGGTAATGGTGGACTCAAGGCCCTGGCTCTAGTACTAGCCGGGGGGGGGGGGGGTG